TATATCAAATATTCATATTCAATACTTTTGCTTTTTTTATTCGATTTATTTGGTTTGAGAAGAAAATTTAATTGAAATAAACATAGATGTGTGTGTTGGCATAAGCTGCCTAATTCGAGTTATAATTTAAATGAAGATTCTACTGCTTGTCCAAACTTCGAAAATAAATGAACAGAACAAAAACTAGAACTTTGGTTTATAGTAGGGCTTGTCCACGCAACGCGCTACTTCGGCCATTAAGTATTTTATTCAAAGTTTTGAAAGAGAGCACATATACCATGTTTTAGAACATGTTCGAAAGTGTCAGAAAATGTACTTTATTTTTGAAAAGAGTATGATTCTTGATCTTGACATGCACATATAAGAAGTCCTATTCATTACGTCATTAATAGCACATTTTTGTCTTACACTTTGAAATTCATCAAACACATAGAGAATGAGTTGTATAGTTCAGTTAGTCAATGTTTTTTAACATACGAAGTGAGACCTTTATTATCGCAAAAGAACCGACTTCTGGTCTTTTCTTGAAGTCAAGATATCATTGAAACAGTATTTGATCAACTGCACTGTCACGGCGTTACGAAAAGATCGAATTTAAAAATTTACAGCAACCGATTAGAAAATACTGGTAAACGAACTAGTGAACTATTGTTAACTCTTTACGGTGATTCGAATGAACTACTTTTCTTGTTGAAAATAATAGTTCAAAAAAAGATAAACGTAACGCTGTGACAGAAACTTAATTTTTTAAGCCATGGCTGGAATGCTTTTCGGATGTTTTATTTTTCAACATTACTGGCATGGAATATACACGAAACGAGATTTTAGCTGGTTTTCAACCTTTATTTTATGCATTCGATGACAAATAATCTTCAAACTCTTTCTTCGATTTTTTTATTTGAGATATAAATCTTTTTTATTTGTTTATATTATGATAATCTATGTAGCTTCAGCATGAAGTACTGTATAGGATAATACTTTCTATACTTTGTGTCGGCAGCAGTATCGTCCAGAAGGAAAATGAAACACGTTGAACGATTGATTTGAATGATATAGACGGCTAACAAACTTTGAAAATTAGACCACTAACTATTTTTTCCTTTCCTCTCGTTATTATGATTGGTCTATAAGAGATATATAAATAGAGAAAGAAAACAGAATTCAGTCAATTTCACCTTATACGGAACGGACTAATTAGAGAAACTTTAACTATTTTATTACACATTCTTATCTTAAAATACAATTTATCCCAAATTAACATCAATATTTTTCTTACTTTCTTAACTCTATCATGGCTATGACAAATGCTGAAAGAATGAAAAAATATCGAGAAAAATTAAAACAAAATAAAGTAAAACGTGAAGAAGTCAAAGCAAAGTCTCGTCATCGATACCAATCAAAAAAAGCAAAATTAACTGGAGCTAGCTTGGCCAAATTTCGCAACAACAACAAAATTCGTCAACAAAAATGTCGTGAAAATAAAAACAAGCATTGGCTCAATAATCCGTCCTCATCATCGTTTAAAAGTCGTCAATCATTTGGCAAATCAATAAAAAAATTCAACTCATCTCTTCCAAAATGCGGCCAGAAAAAGAAAATTATCATTCAACATCTTACTGAAAAATTTGGTTTACTTCCTAAATCCACACATCAACAAATAAACCTTCGATTTGCTGTTCAATTGAAAAATGCCGTTCACAATTTTCATCTATGAGATGATGTTTCATATCAATTTCCAGGTAAGAAAGATTCTATTGTTATTAAAGAGAGTGATGGAAGCAAAGTTACTTATCAAAAACGCATTTTATTCAATAGTTTACGTGAAAATGACGAGTTATTCAAAGAGGAAAATGCTAACATTAGCTTGAGCCGTTCATCTTTTGCTGCTTTGCGACCATCTTTTGTTGTTTTGAAAGCTGCTTTGGCACATCGAAATTGTTTACGTTTGTATCACGAAAACATTTGTCTGCTTTTGAAATCTCTTGATAAATATGTTGATGGAAAATATTGTACATCGTTGGACAATTTTGTTAATTGTTTGGTTTGTAGTAACAATAATGAAGAATGCATGTTTAGTAGTTGTGGTCTTTGTGAAGAATTTTTTGACGAGAATATTTTGGAAAATATTTCTCATGGAGGTGTTCAAATTACTTGGTCACAATGGGCGAATGAAAATGGTCGTGCCGAGAAGAGAGAGTTTGCAGGAAGTGTTGGTGAAGCAGCTTTGTTGTTGAAATCAAAACTTGAACAGTTTTTGTATCACGCGTATATAAAACGAGAACAGTCGAATTATTTCGAAAAGTTGAAGGCTGATGTAACTGATGAAAAGATTGTACTACAAGTCGATTTTTCAGAAAATTTCAATATGAAAGAGCAAGATGAAGTTCAAAATGCTCATTGGAATAGTAAATCGTTGAGTATATTCACGGCTTTTGTCTGGTCTAAGAATGAAAATTTTTCATTTGCTTTATCATCATTTTAGATCTAACGCATGATAAATTTGTTGTTGATGCTGATTTAGCAATCATTTTGAATCACATTGCAACAACACTTCCAAATGTAAAAGAAATCAATTGTTTTTTTTTGTTGGTGCTGCATCTCAATTTAAGCAACGTTTCCATTTTCGAAATCTAACACGAATTGCTAATAAATATAACATCAGTCTAAGTTGGAATTTTTTTGCTACTTCTCATGGTAAAGGTGTCGTTGATGGTATTGGAGGGAGTGCAAAGCGTCTTGTATGGTCAGCTGTTTTGGTAGGAGAAGTGTGTCGAGCGACCGAGTATTTTGTTAAAATTGCAAAGAAGCAAACTAAAAAAATAATTTTGATTGGAATTACAGCAGATGCAATCGATTGTTCGAAAGTTCAACTTGAAAATATTTTCAAAACAGTAAAATCAATTCCAGAAACATTAAAAATGCATTCAGTTGTGGTGGTTGATAAAGATGAACTAGAGTTATTATTCTATGGCTTCTCGTAAACGAATTGTAAAATATTAATTGAATTTATGTTTATAGACTATAGCATTACATGTCGATTGTTTTTTTAATTAGTTTTTGTACATATGTATATAGAATCGATATAAGTAAAGAAAGTTTCATCTCTAATCTAGCGTTTCGTTTAAAACACTTGTAGAAATGAGAAAAAAATAGTAGAACAAATTTTATTATATAGGCACATAGAAAAAGAAAAAAAAATACATCCAGCTCAAAAGAGGTCGGGCCTTCATCCCGAGCTGGAGAAACACTAGTTTTGAGGCGATATGCCCCTGATTTCTAGTGGCCAAGAGCCTCTCATTATACTTCAGAATTTCTAATTATTGACAGAAGTATCGTTAATAAATAATAATCAGGATTAATGAGAAAGATCTTTTTTACATCGCAAATGTAGCCTATCATAGCAATACCGTTGCAATTTCATCAAGTTGAAAGATACTTTCTCAGATGCTTACGTAATCTATTAAAATAATAGAAGTGAGGTGCGTTTTTTGAGCATACAGACGGTATGTTGGAGTGAGTTTTAGTTAGACATAAAGCTAATATGAAATTAAACAAAAAACGTGTCACAACGTTACGAAAAATGTCACGGCGTTACGTTTGTATTTTGACTTTTTTGTACGAATAAGAGGTGCTATGAAAATTTTTTTTTACCAGCAGATAGCTCGTCGAAAGCTCTAAAAAATCCGTCTATACAACATCTTAATTGGATAGCATCATTCACAGGATAATTAGAGCACAACGGGTTGCATCGAGTGACGTGTAAACGGTCAGAAATGATCTGTTGCACAGTATCATGACTTAAACTCGTTTGTTGTTCGATCTCGTCAAATGTAAGATACGGATCATCATTGATAAGATCACTGATCCAGTCGACATTTTCGGATGTTGTCTCTGTTACGGGTCTTCCAGATCTTTCTTCATCTTCAACTTCTTCTCGACCTTTGAACAGTCCTGAGAAGGGGAGCTTGATCACCAAAGACAGCATGTAATTCTTTATGAATACCTGTTAGCTGAATATGAAGTGCAGTACGCACTTTAATATAGAAACGAAAGTGTTCTTTATCCATTTGAAGAGCGATGAGTGATCATGATTTTCTTATGATCTGCGCCGCAAGCACTATGATGTGCCGTCTAGAACATGTTGCTTCTGATCTTATCTTTTTTCGTTTCTTTTCTTTTCTTTTCTTTTCGACTGATTTCATAGCCAGCCACATGTATGTGTCAAATATGCACGTACTTTGTTTGTTTTTTACACATACACGGTAAGCTCGTTCGCATCTCCATAGTAAGATTTCGAAGAAAGTCCAGGCGACTTGAAATCATTCAATATTTTAAAAAATTTCTATACATTTTAAGATTTATGAAATATGTAGAACGATTGAGCGAAACTTGCTCTATCAGAATATATGAGAGAAAAATTACCATCAGTCTTATATACAATACTATGGAAGGTGGCATCATTACTTTTGGCATGGCCTAAACAGGACTGTTATTATATACATAGAAAATATGGCTCATCGCATATGACTTTCAATAAGACGAGTCTAATTATTACCAAAAACCATGTTTTTAGACTTGTTTGATATTTATAAGTACTAAAAAATTTCGAAAAAGGGCTTCTAACAGAGTTCGGGACGATTTTCGGCCATTTTTCTAAATACGAAAAACGCTGTAGATGCACTTGAAAAACAGTAAAAAAACTCGGGGTCTTTCGCAGATAGGACCTTTTTTTCTCAAAAAGATCGAATATTTCAGACGAAAAAAATCTTCCAAAAAGTAGTTGGGTCTTCATGGATTCACCGTGTAGATAGATGTAATGAAGCAGTAGATACACGCATGAAGCTCATCGTAAGTAGAGCAAATGTTGCCGCGTGGTTTCGAAACATTCCCTTTGTTTGACAATGACAATTCTTGTAAAATTCTTTCAGTACATAAAATCTGGTGATTTTTATTTGTTTCCTTCTTAAACAAACAGAAAAAAGAAACGAACGGCAATAGTGTTGTTTGACGTCAGAAGAGTACCCGAAACATTTGTCACAAAACATCTTGCGAGAAAAGGCTATTTAAGCATCGACAATCGTCGGTAGAACATAGTGCTTCGTCATTTATTTTTGTCTTTTCGCTTGAGTCTTTCACATGGGTGGCTGTTGCAGTGTTTGTACTCCGACCGATAAATTTGTTGGAACATGGTCCAATGGAACGACGACAAGTTTAGTAATTCCACGAAATGGATGTCTTCTTTACAGGCATATTGTAAGTTCAAAAAGAAAGTTTCTTTAGAAGATACTCAAAGTAAATGAGATTACACTGAACCAGAAAAAAAATGGTAATTCGTTATTTGAATTACCAGCGGACTTTCCACCACCTGAGGAGAGACGCTATATTGGAAAATCATCTTGCAACCGCCAATAGTCCAGAACGATTTGTTCGAAAATGTTCTTCAGTCTATACAAGATTGTCTCAACTAACTCTTCTGATTCAACTGTGTTTAGAGTACGTGTACACGATCTGTCTGGAGTATGCCGGGCTGTTACAACGAAAATGGGTTTTGCACTTGTATGTGTGGTTGTGTTCTTAGAGGGAAGTATGTTGATGAAAGTGAAGGTGGACCAGGGTTTATGATCAATGATGAATTATTGAAGAAATCGGTGAATACAGGAAATACAATTTGGTTAGCAACTGGTCATTGAACTTAATACGAATCACAGGAAGGTTTTCATTGTCTCGTTCGAACAGTTCTTTTGTCTTATAGAAATAAACTGTATTGACACAAACAGAAGTTGAGGAATGTGTGTAGATGCTGCTCATTTGCAAATACTGACTTAGTTTGAGGAATCTAAAAGTGAGAAGTTAGAAATGTGGCTTAGAGATTATGCGGAGTAAAGGTAATATCGCTCAATATTCACATTGTGGACGCATGGCATCTCAGTAAAAAATTAACTCTACTCTATGCAAACACTTACTGATTTAAATTTTGCCAGATATGAACTCGGAGATGAGGGAGTACGACATATTGCTGATAAATTTTACGAGCGAATACGGTAATATATTTCTCATTTGTGGATTCTTTTGACTGGCTGGGCTTTTTCTTACAGACAGTCACAGCATTCAAATTTGCATCTATAAAATCGATGATGTGTTGAAAATAAATACGGTGAGTGTCATACATTTTTCGTGCTTTTGCATTTCTTATATTTCATATAGATACTCACTACATTAATTCTCAACTACAATTAGTTTGGATATGAAGGATCGCACACCCACTTGCTAACGCATTGCAAACAAACAAAGTGATATATATATATTTACTCGGTTCATATTTATCCACTGTGCCTTAGACTAGATATTCCCTGTGCAATTTATCCGACTTCTGAGTGGCAGTTGTTGCAGATATTATTATAGATGATGTCACTATAGACATAGTACTGCCTGCTTTCTTTGACACAAGAATAACAAACTTCAATTAACTAACATCACTGCTTTGTTATACGTTGATGTACCAGCATGATATTGCAATAATATATTTTATTTTAAGTTTCTTTTTGTGTTTGTATGATTCATTATTTCAACTGAGACGAAGACGATATGCACAAAAAGTTGAAGGATCATAAGTATGTACGTATAGCATAGTCATATATCAATCCTGCTCGCGTCCTCATCCTCAAGATTGAAGTTTTCTTTTTTATTTTAAATTAAAATAAAAACGAAAATATGACGAAAAGAAAAAGATTTATTTCAAATCTGTACGCAATATTTCTTTTATTGTCTGTTGTTGTTGTTGACGATATATCGTAAGTACTATGGTTTGATGTTCTAAATATTGTAGAAGTAGTTGTAACAGAAGAATGAATGATTGTTACCGTAGAAGATTTATTTGTTGAAATTATCTCGGGTTCTATATATTCATCATTTGTTTTAAGAATATCATTAATCCAATCATAATAATATGATAATCTTGTATAAATACCCGGACTACCAGCAACAGCACAACCACGTCCGTGTGAAACAATACCAACTTGTTCCCAATATTTTCCTGTCCAGCGAAATATGGGTCCACCTGAATCACCTTGACAAGAATCTAAAGACAACAATCATAATTTAATAGAAGCAGAAAGATCTTCTTTACCTTTTCCACCCTCATATAATCCTGCACAAAATTGTGTATGTGGATCATCCATTGCATCTGTACATACGAAATCATCATTATCCATTGCAAAAACTTCTGTTTGTTGAAGAATTATCGGACTTTCATCTTCACCGGGTACTGTAGTTCCCCATCCAATAACACTCAGTCGAGTACCATTTTTAATGTACTCATGACTTATTAATGGTGGATCAACACGATGAATACATGTTTTTCTTAATAAGGGATTATCAACACCAATACTCAATGATTGATTTAAATGTAAAACAGCTATATCATGACGATATCCATCTCGTTCACCAATATATTCTGGATGAACATAAAATTTATCGACTGAACGTATGATTTGACTTGGATCGGAAATATTTGTCATTCCAACAGCAATTGTAGCATTATCTACCATTGTTAAATTCATCGAAGAAAACGGTGGATCATGCGCAATACAATGAGCTGCTGTAAGAATATATGAATTAGATAAAATACTTGCACCACACATGTGTCTATCATCTCCGTTTAATTTCAATGAAACAATCATTGACCAACTTGATTCAATTGCATTCTCTCCACCAATAATACGTGCTGGAGTTAAACTAACTGGAGAAGAGCTACAACCGCATGACACTGTAGAATCACATGAATATCTGATCGGAAGTTTCGTTGTTGTTTCAATGGGTTGCGTTGGACAATCATTTACAATTGAAGAAATCCATTCGTTATATTCAATAGTTCTTGTATAAAGTGGTAAGTTTCTGAATGGTAGACAATCGATCACATATGAAGCAATTCCAACTTGTACCCAACGATCATATTCCCATTGAAATATTGGACTTCCCGGATCGGCTAAATTTCTAAAAGTAAAATTTATAATCAAATATTCTTGAACATACCAACACAAGAAACTAAAAAGAATTTTAAAATGTCGTAAGTTATGTTTTCATTGTCGAAAAGTGAATCTTAACCTGAAGTTTGATTCACAAGTCCAGCACAAAATTGCGCAGATGTATGTTCTTCTAATACATAGCAATTTTTGTTAGAAGGCCTTCCTGTATACACTGCAATTTGTTGAAGAGAGTTATCTTCATTTTTCTTGTCGCAATTCATTGTTCCCCATCCGATCAATGCTAATTTATCGTTCGCATATGGATAGAAATATGATGGCGATGCCGGAGAAACTTTTTCTGCTAAACATGTTTGTTTAATTAATGTATTATCGTCTAAATCAAACGGTTTCGATATATGTAAAATAGAAATATCATTGATGTAATCATTGAATATTCCTACATAACCTGGATGAACAAATACTCGATCAACTTTTCGAAGAATTCCGACATTTTCTGAAGAAAGATTGTGAACACCAGCTACAATAGTTAGACCAATTATAGATATATTTGCAATGCATGAAGCAGATGTTAAGATAAACGAATCATTTAATATCGAACCACTGCATAAATGTTTCTCATTTAAACGAATTGAAACAATCATTGGCCAACTAAGAGGTTTGGCTTGATGTCCGTTTTCCTCAACAAATTCAGCATTTACAGAACCACAACCACATGTGTTGCCCCGACGTCCACATCGGTATATGATCGTTGGAGAATTTTCGTTTGTTCTTAGTATTTTGTTATTCATTTTTAAATTTTCTTCAATCCATTGCCGATAATGAGCAATTCGAGTAAAGCTCAAAATCGAATTTATTTTGCAGCTAGTCGATGGAAATGATGAAATACCAACTTGTTTCCAATGATCATCAAACCATTGAAATATTGGACTGTAAAATATGTCTAATAACATAGAAAATGTGATTAAAGAGTGGTAAAAAGAAGAAAAATCCCTTCACTATACAGCCACTACTCAAATACTCTTTCGACTTTCTGATGAGATGATTTCAGTAAGCATACCATAACAAGTATCTAAATAAAAATTTTAAACAATTCTTTTTCATTTTCGGATCAATTTTCTTTACTTTCGGTGACGTTTCTTAAATTTACGCAGAATTGTTGATTTGAATTATTACAATTTGTATAATTACGTTCAGCAAATGAAACAAATCTTTGTCGTAAAACATGTGAATTATTTGGATTCCATTGAACAATGATCAGACTTCTATCAACCGATGGATTTTGACTCGAAAGACATGATCGACTTGTCGATGGTAATGATCGAGATAAATGAAGTAAAGCAATATCGTTTTCATATCGATCGAATGAATTTGTCCAATTTGGATGAATTATTATATTATCGATTGTTATTCGTTGAAATTTTTCAGATATTTCAACAAGAACACTCACTTTTCTGTGTTTAACATCTCTTAAAAATCGTCGAACACAATTCGCTGATGTTAAAATAAATGAATCAGATAAAATCGATCCTTCACAAACATGTGAATAATCATATTGAACCGATACAATCATTGACCAACTGGATGGTTTAGATTCTACACCATATTCAACATTTCTTTTTCCACAACCACATGATCGATTTGTATTACACGAAAATTCTTTTGCTTTGATTGAAAATATATTTCCAAAAAGAAATAATAATAAAAGAATGTTCATCTTCGAGTAACTTTCTGAACAAATATTTCGTTTTGTCTTTCGTATTTATGAGACTGGATTTAAGCAAAAAGATAATATTGAGTTAAGTATTAAATATGATTATTCATCGATATAATAAATAATAAATAAAGTTCGTGACGCTATTGGATATTCGATATCAAACTATAAATATTTCAATGATGGTGAGAACAAAGTTTTCGTGTGTTAATACTATGTAAAATAAAATTCATTTCAAATATTTAGAATAAAAATACAACAAGAAAAAATAAATATATTCAGAATTTTGTTTCATATCAAACTTAAGTAAAATATCGAATAAACTACGTACTATCCGAATTTTGTTGTAGTCTAAATATATTATTGTAAAATTCATTTTGATTTCAGTAATGAGACGAGATGAGAGGCACTATAATCACTTTCGTATAGCTGAATGTATTTCATCGAATGTTTTATTTTTGAGTTGTACATGTCAAGGTCTTTTCTCTCAGCTTGAGAGCTTGGACGTATACTTTCAAACTGACATTCTCATTCTGCTCGAACTGAATAGGAGAGAAAATCGATGTCGAAGTCAACATAAAGTGCCATGCACGATTTTGTGACGAATCTTCATAAACGCGGGAATCAATGTTTTGTAGACACATCAATTTGCAATTAGGGAATCTATTGTCGGTTCTAGATTATTTACTACATGAAGAATAAGGTGAAGTATTCCTCAAAAATTGAGAAACAAATCAAATTAGCTCTTCTTCTTTTATCCTCTTATATAGTAAAAGAAAGAAGAAATGATAACAAAACTAATGGTTCGCATCTAGACCCTCATTTTTCTATTCTTCGTACAAGTGCGTTTTCTTCTGATGAAGCCTAGTCAAATCTTGACACAAAACGCAACATCTCTTTTCTTGTCCCTGCAACGAATACAAAATTGTTTATTTCTTTTCGAATCCTTAAGTTTTCACCAATGACGAGATCAATGATCGATGATTTCGTATAAATTGAAGAGCAAATGGTTATACCTATCATAAATAAACAATCCTTTCTCAACTTTATATTAATCAAAATGTAGATGAATGTAACGAAGTAGTAGATACGTTCATGGAGCTCATCGTAAGTAGAGCAAATGTTGCCGCATAGTTTCGAAACATTCTTTTTGTTTGTCAATGACCACTGTTGTAAAATTCTTTCAGTACATAAAATCTGGTCATTTTTATTTTTTCATTTTTAAACAAACGGCATTAGTATTATTTAACGCCAGAAGAGTACTTAAACAATTCCTGACAAAACATCTTGTGAGAAAATATTATTTAAGCATCGACCATCGTCGGTGAAACATAGTCAAATGACACGACGTCGTTGTTAGAAATTGTTTGTTTGAAAAGCCTAGATCATGGATCGTCTTTCAATGATTCAAAGATTGAGTTCTTCAGATGTCGAAGTTCATAAGTTAACCGCTTGAAATGAATCCTTTAAGGGTAACACAATTGTTTTTTTCATTTAAGGTAATGATATGCGATGGGTTTGAACTTCACTGGATTGTTACAACGAAAATGCATTTTGCACTTGTATGTGTGGTTGTGCTGTCAGAGGGAAGTACGTTGATGAAAGTGGGAGTGGACCAGAGTTTATGATCAATGATGAATTATTGAAGAAATCGGTGAATACAGGAAATACAATTTGGTTAGCAACTGGTCATTGAATTTAATATGAATCACAGGAAGGTTTTCATTGTCTCGATCGAACAATTCTTTGTCTTGTAGAGAATAAACTCCTTGTTGAGAATACATCAAATTATTTTACAAGAAAAAATTGCTATTCTAACTTTCCGCGCTTAATATAAACCCTCCTATGGTGTCTAATAAAAGTAGAAGTCTGCACATGTAAAATCAAATGTGCTCTTTATTTCTCATGATTTACTTGAAAGGAAGCGCATTTAATGAAATAATGATTATTTCTTTCATGAAAAATAAAAAAGCAAAACGAATACCCTATAATTTAACTCAACCAAACTAGGGTAATATTTGCACTCACTTTCTTAGTACATAGATTTACTGTCAACTTTTTTCTCATTCTCTTTTAGATATGAATTTATGACTTTTGCTGCAGCAGTGTATATGATAGCTATACTCTCCTGTTCAATATTATTCTTCAGTGTTCATGGTAAGGATAGTCTAAAATAGTAGTATAATACACTTCTGGACCTTTGACTGATTATTGATACATGTTCTTCGATAGCTCTTTGATTATACTTTGTGAGTGTATATCGAACGTCTTGTTATAAGAACAAAATCATGAAAGGATATTCAGATTACTCCAGCTAAACTTTTACCACAGCAAAGTGGCCATATAGTATGATATTCGCAACTTTTTCAGACGACATATACAAATGTTACTATTTGTTATTAGGTTTAACATTTGTCAACAGCACAGCAGTGGGATCTGATGTCATAAATGCAAGCAAAGTCATGGCAATCGGCTAGTGAATGCATGTAGTTTAAATGAGATCGAAGAATATGTCACAATTATATATGTGCACTCTCATCCAAAGAAATTTAAAGCTACTTTTGTGCAGAGGTCAATCACCTTGAAATAAGTGTTATTTACATGTATCCGAACCAAAGGAGGAAAAGCGAGACTTCATCTACTTCAGATAGTATTTGAAGTACCAATAAATTACGACTGAAATACCAACACACTACTTACTTCACTGTACTTCATCTGACGAGTTGTGTTGAGAATGTTGATTTTGGTTTATGCCCTAGTTTTTGTCACACTCAGAAGTGCTTACAATGAAAAGCGACAGGTGAGACTGTAGAGAAATACGAGAACGTTCGCACACATGGAAAGTACTAATACAGTTACGTTGTATTACATATCATATATAGAATAAAGTCGATCATAACAAACGTAGCCCAACTTTACCTTTCTTTCTACACCTCTCATACTGACGATCAACAAAATGAAGATCAAAGTCGTCTATCGTCACATTCGCTCTCTGTATTAAGGAAAATAATAATTATATTAACAAATAAGAGATAGAGCATACAATCGAATAAAAAACATTAGATTACCCTGATGATATACGAATACGAATATGTTCAAATAAATAATTTGGTTTAAGTGTACTGATTTCATATATTCCGTTCAATTTAAGATCAATTGTATCAATATAAAAAAAGAACCCGCATCATTCAGATCTTGAATCGTTGCAAAATGTATGTAGAAAAAATAGTAGACTGGGGAAGAATTTGCTTCACAGTGTTAATTATTATTCTCTCCACCATCTTACGCAGGTTTTAATTATCTATGAAATGGAGACAGATTTCTGTTCACTTTTTCGACAAAATCATTTATTGTTTCCCATCAAATTCATAAACTTGAAATTGATAAGTAACACCATTTTCTTCTATAATTTGATCATCGAGCTCTGCAAGAATCTCATCTTTCGATCGTTGAATTCGTCGAAATTGGCTCAAATTTAAGTTTGACCAATACGTATCACATGAATATTCAGCAAAGATTCTTGTTAAATAGATACGATGAACCAGATCCGAAGCCATAGCTTGTTCGTACGGTTGGACACCCCCGAGCACAAACACGGATTCAATACCTTTCTCTGGATCGTCAAGAAATCCACGTGCCATTCGAACAGCTTCGTCAAACGATCTGACAGCATCGAGATGACTTTGCTCATAATTCGCTTTGATCGATTCTAAAGAATTCGAGGTTATCACAATAAAATGCCAATGAACAAAACTTTTCGTTAAATATTTGCAAAATGATTCGTAGGTCAATCGACCAATAATTACAGCATTTCGTTTTAACGGATCTTTCGTCGTTGTTGATATGCTCAAAAACCATCGTTCATCTTCGTTTAATTTCCATGGCAATGTATTATTGATTCCCATTCCATTCTTGGCATCCATCGCCATCATAATATTCAGAAATCGATCCATCAGGAAAATCTTTGATGAAGTGGAAAGAACCATATGCTTATCAGGTTTGTTTAGTACTCGCTGACACTGCTATTTTACTTTTCACGTACGTTTATTTAAAAGAATGTTCTCGAGATGTTGTCCTATGCGCACTTTGAGATATGACAAAACGAGAGAAAAGTTTATTATGGTGTGTTTATCGAGGGTCCAAAAGAATGGAAATAGAGAACAGAATAAGCGAGGGTTGAGAGAAAAGAATTGTTTGGAAGAAACAAAATCGACTTTTTTCGCGAGAATTGCGATAAAAATACAATATAAAGAAGTCGAGTTCGTTCCAGATGAACAACAGATTTTTTTATCGACGAAACTCTGCTGACGAATCAAATACTAATTAACATTAATCTTACCGACTATCAAATATCGTACGAAAAGTCGTTAAAGTAAACAAAATCACCGAATAGTTCTAAAAGATGAAATCTATCAAAAATCGAAATCATTGACAATAAATTCACTTTCGAATCTTGAAGTACAGCATAATATTGAATAAATCCAAATAATAAGTACACAAAAATGTCTATTTTCAATCTTAGTGAGATCTTCAGATGGTAAAATTCAATCGGATACTTGATTTCTGGATACTGCTGATTTCGTAATCGAAGTATGATTTGTATATGAATACAAAATTGAAATAATCAATTCATGTAAAGATGAAAGGTAAGGTATCCAATCAAAAACGTACTGCAGAAAGCCCTGCTGACGAGCAGTGGAGAAGTCGAAATTTTCAGACGAATAATGAGTCGCCCAAAAGAAGTTCACTTCTAAATTTCACATCTCGATTCGTCCTACTGTGTGCCATTCGATATAGCTAATAGTAAACAAAATCAATACCGACAAACGTTACCCAATTGGAGAATGTAGAATTTTTTGAGAAATTTAAAGGTAATTTTATATCGTTGACGAACTGAAATGTAAACAGACAATGCGAATGATTGTGAAAATAGTCTACACGAATGGACGAGTGTTTAAATAGGAAGACAGTGGGATGTATGAAATTATTTCAGCGAATAACGAACCGAATGCATCATTGAAACGAAGTAGTGCCTTTCTCCGATAATATGAGGTCAAACATTCTAAAATTTGAAAACACAAAAAATGTTAAGTAGTCTTATAATGAAATTTCTTGTTGTTTACTGAGACTCACAAGAACTCTTTTACTGGAATTATATAATCTGGTACGTCTTTAACTCGTTGATAATCAAGTTCCGATGCAGTCGGCAAATAAAACATCACCCGAAGTGTTGTTGTCATTGTAACTTGTTTATACACTTTTAATTGAATATGTCAACCACTACACTCTAGATCAATATATTATATCTTTGCCCTATATACAAAGAAAATATAACCGTACTAAGCCAAATATGTCGTGAACCACACGGAAATGATTGAATCGTATGTCATATGAGAACCGTATGAGATATACTTTCAAAATATCATTGGCTTATCGTATCAATTATGAACATTCATACTCAATAACACGCGGATTACATAAAAAGAGCGATAATCTGCTAAATATATTTCGAGATATAAATTCTCATGCTAATAAACGATTCACATAGAGAGAATCTCAATCTTTTATTGAATATTTCGATTTTGCCTGTACTATACTATTTTTTGTATGACACATTTTTTGTTTTCTTCGATCGACCGCGCGTAAATTAACACACGTGTTCGTTTCGGTGATGATCGTTATACATATTCGTCTTCAATACATATAAGAAAATATGCATTGGTGGTTGAAATCGTTTGTTTTGGTTAGTTTTATCGCATGGGTTGTTTATTATCGCTTTTTGGCATCTCAAGTAGATTTGATTTCCAGTCGAATGTGTCAAAATTGTTATTTCTATTTTTAGCTCATCCGAACACGCACAAAAGGTTTCTCACATATTTCAACTTCGTTAAAAAATAACACAGAAACTTATCATTTTCTTCAACAGTCCGAATCTTCATATTTTGAATTCGAAAACACGCTTTATGCTCATGGTCTATGTGGCGATCTCGAAGTCGCTCCTCTCTCCCGACCTTGCACACCGCCACTTCATATTCATCTCCGCCAAATCGAATATTTTACACTTCTTCAAGGTCAGTTGGGGTACCAACTAGGCGATGAAATCATCTCATGTGATGTTCACACATGTCCAAAGCCTCTTATTATTCAACCAGGTGTGCCACATACATTTTGGATGAATGACAACAAAGAAGATTTGACTGTTCTCATTCGTGTTGAACCAGCAAATCGATACAATGGACTTCGACGTGCATTTTTCGAAAATTTCGGCGGCGTCATACGCGATGAATCTGTGTCTATTTGGCAAATATTCGTACTTTTTGACAATGCGGAAACTTATCTAACGACGCTTCCTTTATCAATAATGAAAATCATCACAAGAATCGGTGCTCTGATCGGTCAGCTACTTGGTTTTAAACATGAATACGAAGAATATACAACAGATTAACTAATAAAGACTTTCTCGTTGCGACATCTCGTTTTCTTTTTGTTTACTGGATTTTTTTCTAATCGAACAGGAAACCAACATAGAAAAGAATTCAAGACAGAACGCATTTTATATATTATTTTAGAAGAATGGCATCGAATCCGTTGACAAACATCGATAATCTCGTTTCAGACACGTTTGAAAACGCAGTGAAAACAGGTGATGTCGTTCTTGAACTTGGAAAAACTATCGAACATTCAGTTGATGGCTGTCCGGTATAACTTTTTCGTCGAAGTTTACTTAAAAACATCGACTTTCATCTTATTTAGTATCACCTACGATCTGTTCTTAGTCATAAACAAAAACCATTGAAAGGAGATGTAGACAAAACTGACAAAGATCCATTTGCTCCTCCTTACGATAAATGTGTTCACGTTTGTGACATTCCGAATTATGGATCGAATGAGACAACCTATGCTGTGGTACTCAATAAATTTCCTTCGACGAAAAATCAATTTCTCGTTGCTCCTCATGGTATGTCGATGGAATCTTTGATGGGTCGATTTTTGCATTTTTTTTTTCTCCTAAGAATTCGCCAATCAGTCCGATCCGTTATCAGCTGATGAACTATCCTTATGTTATCAAATCATTCGAAATTATAGAACAACAAAATTGCTCGTGTTTTTCAATTGTGGTGAAGATTCCGGTGCAAGTCAGAAACACAAACATATTCAATTCTTTCCAGTTTTACAAAACGATCCACCAATCGATTTTTTCCTCCAAGAAGAACAGAATTATTCTCAGGCTTGTCAAATCAGTCAAGTGCCTTGGGCACATTTTGTCATTTCTATTCGTCCGCCGGAACAAATTGATCACTTAGCGGAATATCTGATGAATCAATTTATTCAACTTTTAGATGAGATGTTCAGTTTCAAAGAAGGAAAAGAATTCAATCCATTGAAAACGTCGTATAATGTGGTGATGACAAAGAATTATTTACATGTCATTCCGAGAACAAAAGATACGTTCATTTTGAAGAATGGATCGAAAGTACCTATTGGTGGAATTGATTATGCTGGAATTATTATTGTCAAAGACGACGAAGATATCGATGAAGTTATCAATTATGGTATCACGAATATGCTTCTCGAAGTTGGAAGAAAAAAAGATGAAGAAAATAAAGCGTGATTGATAAGTTTTGACTTTTTCAAAATACAAAAATCTCTTTTAATAAAAACAAAAGTTTCTGCTTACATTTTCACACTGAATAAAACACTACTCGTTGCCAATGTTACACAAAGGTTGTGTATGTTCTTATCCACTGAATAATTATTTTAAGATGAGAAGAATGTTTTCTTTTTCTAATTGATAAATAATTTATTGATAAAGATAAATATCGATTACATAATCAAAGAAAAAAGCGGAATCGGATTCAATCAAAATTATCCTTCTGAAGCGTTAAGATAAGCTTTCCATCCTCCGAAATGAGTGATATCTTTTGCCGTCTCGATACCAGATGATTCTACAAGAAAACCTTTCACCGATTGTCCATCATCAAGAAGAATATTTCCAATCGTAAGTGGTGATGAAATTAAATTGACAAAACTTGCCAAATATTCATTTGGAATTGCCCAAATTTCGATTTCAATTCCTGATCCTTGACTTCCATTGACTCGAATCAATCCCGGCTTACACGGATTCGTATTTGAAAGTGCATAAAGACGATATTCTTGATGAGTTCGACATTTGCGAACAAATCTTGCATTTCTTTCGATGAGTTGATAATTCAATGGTAAATCGGAGAGATGAGCACCAACAACACCAATGAGAAAACAATTCCATTGTTCATCGTTTTCTTTCATTGATAATTTTTGTGTATTAGATAAAAGATGTGTAGTTGAACAACCAATAAATGTTGAAAGACAACGATGAAGTCGATCAGCAAGAAGAAGAAGTGCTTGATCAGTAAACGAATGAGAAATAAAAGTCACACCAAAAGGTAAATGATCTTGACGAAGACCAGCAGGTAATGCAATTGCTGTTAAATCAAGTAAATTTACAAAATTTGTATAAAAGCCGAGTTGAGTATTGAGTTCAATTGGTGATTGTTGAATTTGATCAATTGTAAAAGTTCGAGGTGCAGTTGGAACTAACATCACATCAAAATTCTTCCACAATTCTTTTGTTTCTTTCTTCAATTTTTCAATTTCATACATCGAATTGAAAACATCAACTGCAGAATAAGATTTCGATTTGGAAATAATTGAGAAAACAGTTGGATCAATATCAGATTGATGTTCATCAATAAATTTACCAACAGAAGCATAACGTTCAGCAACCCAAGGTCCTTTATAAAGCAAATTGGCAACTTTCACAAATGAAGTCAAATCAAATTCAATGATTTCCCCATTCAATTCAGTTTCCACAGTTTTAATTACTTTTTCAAATAATTCACCATTTTCTGTATCACCAAAGAATTGACGAGTTGATTTTGTTGGAACACCACAACGAAATTTCGATGAAATAATCCATGGTGATGAACAAAATGATAATTGACGAGAATATGGATCATTTTCATCATAGCCATGAGCAACTGACAAGATTATTGATGCATCTTTACATGTTTCAGCAAAAATTGAAACACAATCAACACTTCGACATGCTGGAACAACACCGGAACAACTTAATAAACCACGTGTTGGTTTCATTCCAATAACATTATTGAACATTGCTGGAACTCGACCTGATCCAGCTGTATCTGTTCCCAATGCAAATGTCACCTTCAAAATATCTTGGGTTTTTCTTTACAATTCTTCACTTTGATTCTTTTACTTACTAAACCATTACCAACGCTAACTGCTGAACCTGAACTTGAACCACCTGAGATGAAATTTTTATGAAAAACACTCGAACAAATTCCAAATGGCGAACGAATTCCGACTAAACCTGTTGCAAATTGATCCATATTGGTTTTTCCGATTACAATTGCACCTGCTTCTTCAAGTTTACAAACAACAAATGCACTTTTCGTTGCTTTTTCATCAGCAAATGATGAACATGCTGCTGTTGTCTTCAAATCAATTACATCAATATTATCTTTCACTGCAAATGGAATTCCAAATAATGGATAAGCATCACGATCATCTTGAGAAATTGATAACAATTCTTCAACTCGTTTTAAAACTTTTTCTCGTGGAACAATTGAAATCCAAATGGGTTTTAAACCTTCTTTTTCAATTCGATCATAAATTGAATTGATCGTCTGCAAAAGACCATTTGGATTATTCGAATAAACTTCATGAAGTTCACCAATCGTTGGCATTGAGAATTTGAATCTTGTAGATAAAATTTAAAGTCAATAGAGACGATATTTTATATTTCTTTTTAGATTTGAATGTCAAATGTACTTTTACAAGATAATAAGTCTTTTCATAGATAAACAAACATGATGTACTTTTATCATCAAATAGAAAGAAAAAAGAAAGAGAATAAAGAATTCTTTCGATATCGAATGATGATCACGCGGTGTCAATATGATCATTCGTATGAGATAAAACTATTCAGTTGATTTCAAATCGAAATTTGGACTTTTAAAATGAACATTCTTTACATGTTATACACAAATGATCTTTGTTCGATAAAAGAAACGAAAGATTTAAGATGAAAGTCCAAAATATTTATCTTAAATATAAAAAGGAAATTCTGATAGATTAAATAAATTCAAAATATTTCTTTTATTCTTAAAATAAAATGACATTTATTTGAGTTTATTTCGACCAGGTGACATTCTTTTGATGATAACTGATTCTTTTTTTGGTCTATTTATATGTAACTTTAGATAAGATAACATTCGTTTAAATCACACAGACATGTCACACTGTCTTCACTTATAAAAGAAAAGATTTGTCAAATAATTTAAGAAATTCTTTGGTTTTTTTTTCTTTTTAAAGAAAGATTTGCAAATGAAATCAGTTCTGATCGCTAATCGTGGTGAAATAGCCGTTCGAGTGGCTCGAACATTACGTCGAATGGGCATTGAAAGTGTTGCAATTTATTCAGAAGCTGATCGAAATTCTGTTCATGTTCGTGTCGCTGATCGATCAATTGAATTAAAAGGATTTCCATCAAGTGAAATTTATTTACAAAGTCAATTAATAATTGACATAGCAAAAGAAGAGAAAGTCGATGGAATCTTTCCTGGTTATGGATTTTTATCTGAAAATGCTGAATTTGCTCGTCAATGTGAAAAAGAAGGAATTTGTTTTATTGGACCAACAAGTGAACAAATTTATCAATTTGGTTTAAAACACATTTCATATGAATTGGCTTGTGAAGCAAAAATTCCAGTTTTACCTCGAAGTGAACTTTTAAATGATATTGAAGATGCAAAACGACAAGCTTTACGTATTGAATATCCTATAATGTTAAAAAGTACAGCAGGTTCAGGTGGTAAAGGAATGTGTCAATGTTGGAATGAAAAAGATTTAGAAAATGTTTATGAAACAGTTCAACGATCAGCACAAAAATATTTACAAAATGATGGTCTTTATGTGGAAAAATATGTTGAACATGGTCGACATATTGAAATTCAAATCTTTGGTGATGGAAAAGGTTTTGTTCGTTCATTTGTTGAACGTGATTGTTCTTTACAAAGAAGAAATCAAAAAATAGTTGAAGAATCACCTGCAACAAATCTTTCTGATGAAATTCGATGTGCAATGAGTAATGCAGCTGTTCAACTTGCGTCACTTGTGAAATATCGATCAGTTGGAACAGTTGAATTCATTTTAGATGAAAAATCAAAGAAATTTTATTTTCTTGAAGTTAATTGTCGATTACAAGTTGAACATCCAATAACAGAAATGATTTATGGAATTGATTTAGTTGAATGGATGATCAAATTATCATCTAATGAACAAATTGAACAATTAAAAGATTTTCCAAAACCAATTGGTTGTGCAATTGAAGTTCGACTTTGTTCAGAAAATCCTTTAAATGATTTTTGTCCTTCGACAGGAAAAATTTATGAAATTAAATTTCCTCAAACAACAAAAAATATTCGAATTGATACGTGGATTTGTAATGGAATTGAAATTTGTTCATTTTATGATTCGTTATTGGCAAAAATTATTGTTCATGGACAAAATCGACAAGAAACAATTGAAAAACTTTCTTTTGTTCTTCAACAAATTCATCTTTATGGAATTGAAACAAATTTACATTTTCTTCGTCAATTAATTTCATCGAATTTCTTTCTTAATGAACAAAATCTTTCGCTTCAGTTTTTAACCAAAGTATTTCATTATGAACCAAAAGGAATTGAAATTCTTCAAAGTGGAACATTTACAACAATTCAAGATTATCCAGGTCGAATTGGATTTTGGAATGTGGGAATTCCTCCATCAGGTCCAATGGATCATTTTGCTTTTCGAATTGCAAATCGTTTAATTGGAAATAAAGAAACGACTTCTGCACTTGAAATTACTCTTCATGGTCCTCAAATTCGTTTTCATCAATCAACAACAATTGCAATTACAGGTGCAACGATGAAAATTACTCTTGATAACAAATCAATTCCACTTTGGAAACAAATCTTTGTTGAAAAAGGACAAATTTTAGAATTTGGAAAACTTATCGATGGTTGTCGAACATATTTGGCCGTTCGAGGTGGTTTCGATGTTCCTTCATATCTCGGTAGTCAATCAACATTTGTTCTTGGGCAATTTGGTGGATTTGCTGGTCGAATTTTACAATCAGGTGATTTTCTTTTTCTCAATTCACCGATTTCCAATGAAATTCCATTGAATTTGCCCATGGAATTCATTCCTGTTTATCCCAATAGACAAAAGCAAGAAAAATGGTCAATTGCTGTTCTTCATGGCCCACATGGTTCACCTGATTTCTTTTCTTCGGAATTTATTCACGAATTTCTTCAATCAACATGGAAAGTTCATCATAATTCGAATCGGTTGGGAATTCGTTTAATTGGACCAAAACCAATTTGGACACGACAATCAGGTGGTGATGCAGGTCTTCATCCTTCAAATATTCATGATTGTCAATATGCTATTGGAAGTATCAATTTTACTGGTGATTCACCTGTCATTTTAACTCAAGATGGACCAAGTTTAGGTGGTTTTGTTTGTCCATTTACAATTATTCAAGCAGATCTTTGGAAAATTGGTCAATTAAAACCAAATGATCAAATTCAATTTTATTCAATTTCATTTGATCAAGCTTTAACTTTAGAAAAACAACAAAATCATTTCATTTCTACTTTATCTTCCCCTGCTCCTTCTCCTCCTCCGTCTTTACAATCATTTCAGTGTATTCTCAAAGAACTCAAAGAAACATCAACACAACCACGTGTTGTTTATCGACAAGCAGGTGATCATTACATTCTCATTGAATATGGATCAATGAATTTAGATTTACATCATCGATTTCGAATTCATTTCCTTATGGAACAACTTGAGAAAGAGAAAATCCAAGGAATTCAAGAAATTTCTCCTGGCGTTTCTTCACTTCAAATTCATTTCGATGGAAAAATTCTTCATGAATAAGTCCCAATAGAAGTTCTTTATTCATAATGAAAATCGTATTATTTAAAGCTTGTCGTCGTTCCAAGAATTTGTCACAGCCAATGCTACCAGCGAGAGGATCATTATTGAAAGATGATCATCATCAAAAGCCACTTGATTATTCCTAAGATCCGCCAAGAAATTCCTGGGTAAGATATTTAGTTCACAAAGATCTTCTGAATATTGTGTTCTTTTTGTAAGAGTTTGTACATAGATTGAATACTAACAAATACTCTGTGCGTATGACTACGTAGTAAACGATTTAAAAGTTTTAGATTTTCAAGAATGAAACTTCTCGATCAGCATCAGCAGCATCGAAATTTGAGTCAACATCGATTGAGTTGGCTCTGTATACCATAAAGTCAACTAATACATCATGGAAGTCCAACAGAATTAATTCGAAGGCAAGAACTTACCAAATAGCGTAGAAAATTAGAGAGAGGCAAACTATCTAATGAGATTAAAAGAAAAGAAAATTTTCTAGACTTCTGCTTAATGCGATAATGTACCTCTCTCACCACTTTTGGATTGTCCTAAATATGATGGATGCTGATAACGATCGAATTGTCAGTTCAAGCACAAACGACCTTCGATGGATAGCTGGCTGTTCGATTATATTTGGTTCCACAACCAATAAATTGGCTGTATCGTGGTCTCTGAGTTTCGACAGTGCTGGAAACATTTTCCTAGCAGATTCATGAGATCATCGTGTGAGATTTAGTCACGTAGAACTCAATAACAAACGTATTTCTACACAAAGATTGAACGCGCGATTCTCGAAACGATTTTCTCGGGAGAGAAAATAACCATTTACCAGTCTTTAATGAATGACACTGTGATTAGACTCATATTGAGATTTTTAAATGTGATCGTGTAAGAGTGTGTTGTTATAGTAGTGAAGAGTAATAATACTCATGCAATTAACGGTCTATTTGATTGTTTCAGCGAACTCATCAAACATGAACTTCATTGCTTCAATAAGTGCTAGTCACCATTGGACTGATCTTTATTAAAAGAATACTACTCGACCTTGTGACACGATCAATCCATATCAGAATCAAGACATCTGTTTCAAAGACAATACTACCGTGAACGATTGTTCCCGTCGACGTTAACAGAGGTTTGATGGTTTACAGTGTCAAAATGATTGACAAAATATTTGAGACAAATATGTTTTAATTATGATAAACCTTTATTCGAGTATACGATTGAGAAAAGAATAATGATTAATATTGTATTTATTTAGATCAATGTAATGGAACATCGAACAAAATATTTGAATGTTTATGTGTACATGATTGGACCAATGCTCATTGTGAGAAGAAAATATTTTTCGTCATCATGGACACTTTGAAATATTTTCTGAATCTTGTCTTAACGAGAAATGAACTGCACAAAATAAGGAAAACGAACGAAACTTAATACCAAACATGTAATTGGAAACATCAGCGTCAATTGATAGTTAATATAAAAAACAAATAAATCCAATCTTGAGACGAAAGAAAACTAATGAAACATAACTATTAACTAATTGTTTGGAGGAAACAGTTGCATCTTGTTATTGTTCTAGAACGAGTATATTGTTATGAAATTGTGAAAGAAATCTTTACACACTACGTAATATCTATCATATTTAATTGATAGATAAATGTTATTTGGATTTCAGTACAACTTAATTATTCTACTAAAACTAAATAAAAATTCTTTATCCGACACGCTTAGGAATATTGATGTTATCTCATGGTGACAATCTATATGAACATCGTGATGCTTTCTTTTCGAACTGTCATGAATAACATTTCAAAGTTACTAAATAAATTTAATTTCTTTCATTTCTATTCTATTTTCATATCATCACTACTACTTTTCTTTCCATTACCACTCATGATTGTATGAATAAAACAGCTATGAATCCTGATAGCTCTGCTCCAAGGAGCTACAGAATGTAGTAATAAAAAATCTAATTAAAAAAACGACAATATCTTATAGAGTTCATAGGAAGAGATTAGTTTCTTTAAAAATATCTTTTAAGAAAATATTCGTGTATTAATGTCGACATTAGCAAGTCAAATTCGAGAATTATCAGGATATATGAATGGATATTGTCTAATTCCCGTGTTTGTTTTTGGTATATTTGGTAATATAGCAAATATAATTGTTTTTTATAAAAGTCAATTGAAAAATAAAGGTTGTTCATTATATTTTGTAAGTATGTCATTTGTTCATTTAATTGTTTTATGTTTTGGTTGTCTTGTTCGAATAATCATAACATTTAGTGGATTTGATTTAACTCATTCATCATTATTTTTTTGTAAATTTCGTATATATTTTTTAACTCTTGGAATTTTTTTATCTCGTTATTATTTATGTTTGATTTCAATTGATCGATGGATGATTATTTCGTTAAATGCTCAAATTCGTCTTCTAAGTAATCCACATCGAACTCAACAAATAATATTAATTACTACACCATTGTGGATTATATTTTATATTAATACACCAATTGGTTTTCGTCAAGAATCAAATGGTTGTGTTGCATCATCAGATGGATTTTATTCAACATTTTATCTCATTTCAAATATATGTTTAACAATAATACCAATAATTATAGTCATGGTATTTGTAACTCTGATTTTATATCGAATTATCTACAAACGAGCAATTGATAGACGTCAACAAATAGTTCGTCCAATTGAAATTGTTGAAAGAAATATCATAAATCATCGATTTGCACAACTATCAAATAAAAATCGTCAATTAATTCGAATAAATTTAATTCAAGTTCTATCTTTTATTATATTTAACTGTCCAAATACAATTTATACAATGTATTCATATATAACACAAACATATAAAAAGAGTATAGACCGAATAGCTATTGATAGCTTTTTCGTCTATTTGGCATCATATTTACTTTATACTCATTGTGCCGTAAGTTGAAACGGTTTGTTTATAAATTAGTTTTGCATAAAAGCACTTTTACATATAAGAGTATCATATTCATAATGTTACACTTAAAATAGAGAAGTCTATGGGCATTTTTAATAACATAATCACATTTTTTTTCTTTTAAATAGGCCTCCTTTTATTTATACACATTGGTATCAGTCAAATTTCGAACAGAATTTTGGAAAATTTTTCTTCGAATCCGACGAACTATTCTTTTTTAGAATCATAAAAACTAATGATTTATTGTTTTTTTTATTCATACATTTAATATTGTTATTTTCACAAAAAATAAAAAAATCAGCGCAGCTTTTTCAAGACAGGTATTTCTACAAAATGTGAACACTTCGAACAGAAAGATGACTTAAATCTATTTACACAGGCAGACAGAACTCGATGAATTGTATTCACGAACATCTATGTGAAACTAGCAGGAAAAAAATGAACAATTGCGAATAACTTTATACACAAGATAGAAATGAATTCATCCGATGCAGAATTTGATTCTACATGAAATGGCGACACTTGTGTTTAGAGATCAGTATGAAATTAGCATAAGAAAACGAAAACTCATACAAAACCTTATGATCAAATGACATCGAATGAAGTCACTTTAACGATAAGACTTATTTATGTATAAAGTTATTTGCAATTCGTTATTTTTTCGTGATAGCTTCACATATATGTTCATGAGTACAACTCATCGAGTTCTATCTGCCTGTGTAAACAGATTTAGACCATCGTTTCTTTCGAGCTGTTCGCGTAATTTACAAATGCCCGTTTTTTTGTTTTTTCTTTCCTTCTACACAACGAAGGATGCGTCGAGATGAAACGAACATGTATCCACGTGATTATCGTGCATGGTAAGATTTTATTCAAAATATTTTTCTATAGGTCAGTAATCATTAAATGAAAGGTATCTACAAAAACTATCCTTCATTAATATCATGTTTTTCCCCTCGTACTGTCACTTTTTTCTTTCATCCAGTCAATCAAGGCCAAAAGAGAAAGGTAAGTGCTCGTATGTCCAATTATTGTATGATTAGTTCCCATCCTTATATAGTGAAGTATGTAGAAACAGTTATGCACAACATTTTTTCGTCCATTTATCTATCAATAATACTCTCGCCAAGTATATCGATCTTATAAATAATGCGGTCCTTGTGCGCACTGCTGGTGTTTGCATTGGTGGTAGTAGCATCGAATGGTGCTCGTTACCATCCTCGACGTGCTATCGATGATGATGATGATGCCGATGACACTCGAGATTTACTACGTTCCCTCCTTCGACAGGCATCTCTTCGAAAAATTGGATTCGATAGTGATGATGAAGACAATTACAGTAATCGTTTTTATTTCAATGAAAGTAAATAATTGAATCTTTGCTATTCATATGCATTTCTCAATATAATCTGAGTCGACTCATTTCTTAACAATCTTGTCATCATTTCATAGAGATATTCTTTGTACAATAGGAGCTAATACTGCCGCGAAAAAATGTACATCGGCTGTACCAGGTACATATTATACGAGTAGCTCTACAAAGTCGATAGATAACGTCGTGAGTCAAGACGATTGCATGAATCGATGTGAGGTAGATGACAACTGCTATGGCTGGGCATATCAAGCCAGTTCAAAGACTTGTTCAGTTCAAAATTCCATTGGCTGGAAAACGCGCGATGCATCTTATGTTGGTGGATCTTGTATTGGTAAGTACTCTGCAAAAACCATATCCTATATTGGGACAAACAGTCTCATGAGAGTGGTGTATGTATAATTCTTGTTTTAATTTCGATTCTAAATAGGTCCTGCTGCGAAAGAAAAGGTCTGCAAAGAAAAGTTGAAAAATACTCTTTACAATGGTGATTGGAGTACCGGATTTTGGGTGAACACAGCTGAAGATTGTATGAAGAAATGTGATATCACTCCATCCTGCTTAGGTTATGTATTCAGTGAAACACAAAAATACTGTTGGACTCAAACTGCACAATATGGAAGTGGATATGCTGCTGATTGGACAAGTGGATCGTGTGTTAGTAAGTCATTTGGATAAAAAACATCTGCTGTTTAAAGTTCTCGCTATTCGTTTATAATGTTTCAGAACCAAAACCTGATTATCCACCAATATCGATCGAAACTTATCGACAACAAGCATTAGAACAACATAATGTGTATCGTCGAATGCATTGTGTGGGTCCTGTCAGGTTAAATGCATCACTCAATAATATCGCTCAAGCAACTGCAGAAGATTTAGCAGCAAGGAATATATTTCAGCATAGTGGTAAGAAATTCAACGGACAATGGATGGGAGAAAATCTGTTTGCGTCATCCGGAGGCAAACCATTGTATCAAAAAGGTACTTTATTTCACACAATTGTACTTTTCACCTTTTCTATTTGTGTGTGTGTTTTGTTCAGGTTCCGTGCCAGTTACAGCTTGGTACAGTGAAATTCAATATTACAATTGGACAAATCCCGGATTTACAATGAGTACGGGACATTTTACACAAGTCATCTGGAAAGGTTCGACTGAATTAGGTATTGGCAGAGCTTTATCACAAGATGGAGGTAAAATGTACGTCGTTGGGAATTATTTTCCTGGTGGAAATGTCGGCGGCACATTCCCCAGCAATGTCAAACCATTATGCTGAGCAATTTATATTTCATCATTTAGTTAGAAGAGACAAATATGAATAGAATAATAGAAACTTCCCTATTTTTATTTATATAAACGCAATTATTGGCTAAAATCATCTTTACTATTTGTAGTGTATGGCGCGGTTGACGATGTTTTTTGTATAAATAAACATTGACTCTGATAGATTGCGATTCGATTCATTTTCAAATATTCACGATGAACTTTCAGGAATAATATCGAAGTTCATAAGAGTCAATCATCTTTGATCTTGTCAATTATTTCAATTAATCAACGTTGTTCACGAGAATTATTGTAATCCGCAATTTATCTTCATAGTCATCGATAAAACTCCAATCGTCAACACATTCATTTGTTAATTTGTAGAAACCAATGTTTTCCATTGGATTCATCCGATTTGGAGACAAATGAATCAAGATTAAAAGCATCATTAACAGATATACGAACAATGAATAATTTACAAGATAATTTCATTGTATAAACATGTTTGATTTTGTTTTGTATAATTTCACCTGTGTAATGATGATTTAAATCTCTTCTACAAAAATATCTTTGTATACTATCATATTTGTCTGTATAGCAATACAAAGGAGAAAAACAATCCCACGATTACTAAGTCATGACATACACGTAGGAATGGGAAAGACGTAAATATAACGTGGTCCAATGTGCAAATATCCGATATTTCTCTAAGAAAAAAAAGGGGTGGGACATTCTTGGAGGGATGATTGTATAATTTTATATGCAATGTTTATTAACGTCAATGGTAATTAGAGAATAGGAATGAAATGTAGCTTATATAAATGTTTGACGAAAAGCGAATCATAAACATATTTGATTTTCGATTTGGATATTTTGTGTTCTACGCGTTATAACTTACTCCAATTACGATGATTGGTCGAATTATATCAGTTTTATTGTTGGCTATGGTTGTGGATAAAGCTTGTGAAGAATTCATGGTTCTTCTCCAAAACACTGGTGATCAACATGAACGAGTGGGAAAAGATGCAGCTTAACCTAACTTCATTGATTTCTGGCGATAAACCTTGTATAAAACGTTCTACGCTTCTTTCTACTGAATAAATTATCTTTAGAGATATCAAGAACATATATTTATATCTATCTGTACATAATCAATAGATCGTATCATTTTTCATACGGAAAAAAGAAACGAGTGAAATTGCTTTATGGATACACTTTCGCTCGGAATATTTTCCATGGACATACATTTCTATCGACTTATGAGATAAATCTCGTATATCATGTCATATCTGCCAGTTTTCGGATCGTTTTCAAAATTTCGATAATACTAAGCGATTCATTATTGGGTGAAATGTGATGATCATATAGACGTGAACATGAATGTATTGATTCCTCTAGATATGAATTTTATAAAACGCAATCTGTAAGAGTGTTGAAGTGTAGATAAAAGTCAAAATAGATTCTCGTTTCACTGTAATTTTCACCTAGCCAACATATTACGGTTTGCTTGAAATTATATAGAGGCATATCACTCTATTGCAGATCGTGATAGACATAATATGCGTGTAAATTAATGCTTCTCATTAGTTTGAATTTGATGTTCAATTAGAGATATATATTCAGATGATCAGTTAAGTATTTTCAAATCAAATATGTTTTTCTTAAAAAGAAATAAGAAAATCCAGTAAAAACAAAACCAATACCAGCCCACAAACATAAACCGAGAATTTTCGCCAATGTTATCCTTCGTTGAAACTCCTTTGTGTCATTGACATTAGGAAAAGGAATATTTTCCGGTACGTCAACTTCCAAAAATCGACATAAAGGCTCCCATCCTTCTTTAACATTATAGACAAGGACATCGCCTCGTTTGTTTTCATTGATTACTCGTTGATTATGTTTTTCGTGCATTTTTGAATCAATTGAACCGTAATCGCGAATCCATTTTTGAGTCGTTTTCTCTCCCATTTGACTTTGTAAACGTAAAAACCGTAAAGGATAAACTGCAAAGCGATAAAAACGGCTGCACGTTATTAAACCAATTGTATTTTGGAAACTTTCGAACCATTTTTCATTACTATCTCGTACCGAAAGGATAATTTTTGCGTTTGGATACGCTTGTTGAATTTCTTTGTAGAAATCAACTGTTGGTGCATCGACAGTTGACCGATAACCTTTCAACAATTGACGAAAATCAACATTTTCACCATCATATGCTTGAATAAATCCAATTATTCGGTCAGGTTCTCTCATCAAATCAACCATATGATGACAAGGACCAAAACCGAGAATTTCAAGTGCAGTTTTCAATGATAACGTTCCCGTACGTGGTAACCCAGCTCCAATAACACGTAATTCCACATCGGTTTTGTCACGTTTATTGTTTTCATGTCGTTGTCGTAAAATCGCAGTCGCCATTTGATCTATAAAAATAAATCTGAGTGTATTTTTGTAGCACTCTATGACCATCGACATATGAAGAAAGAAAACAAACCATGTGACAGAAAAAATTGTTTTATGTGTTATGTACACATCACTTTTACGTTTCTTTTTCTTTCCTATCATAGAGAAAATCAACTCACTCGTTTATGACGCGCATGTTAACATCGTATAATATAATGTTGATACTACAGTGTCCTTGATATGAATAAACATTCCAACCACACCACAATGCAGATCTCTCAAAACTGGTCATCTATTATAAGCAATGACATTTTCCTTCTTTGTTTCTCTTTCTCTCTCTCATCTTGAGGATAGCGTACGATGAGAGGTGAATCAGGGTACGTTTGAAGATAAGAAATGAGGAAGAATCAAGTATTATAAATCTTATCAATGTGTCCACAATATAATTCATTTGGAGTTAGGTCATATATAGTCATTCGATCATCTATGTACTGATCTACCCATTTCGATTTAATTGATGCTCTGATATGTAGTCATTAACCGACTAAAGTGAATATTAGATAGTTTGAATAGTAAAATATCCGATCAGTTCTCGGAAGATGTAGGCTTGAGTCCTACTCAAATTTTATGATTTGTTCAGATAAATTTCCCGCAATCAACTGAACATATATTTGTGAACAGCTCAATTATCTTTGAATCGATTATATTGCGGACAAGACGAAAGGATTTATTATGTTTAATTTTTCCTCATTTTCTATCCTCAGACTCTCCCTCACACTCTCATCCCTATTCCAACGCTTAGTAAATGACATGATCATCGTATCAAAGCACTCATTATTTATCTTGATACTCCGATAATGAATATCGTATGTGTTCGAACTTTTTTGATTTTGAGAAAAATATTATAAAGGTAAATTGATCAATGACGAACACTGTAGGTAAATATCAGCATTTTGGTGATGTAACTTCTTCATGGTTTTTTTCCTTACCTTTATACCAAATGATAACAAAGATAAGATAGGAAAACACGATTTATTCCTTTAGGTTTTTACTCTGAATCTCCTTCAGCAAACGGTCATTTAATAAATTGAGAAGAGCAATGGCGAATGCTGATGAATATCCTGCAATCAATGAAGAACTTATTTACATATTTCATTTTGATACACGTGAGAAAGTTGTTTTCTTAACTAAAAAAGAACTTCTCTTTATTCCATATTTATTCGCACTTGCTGCAAATGAAAATAAGTCAAATGAATATGTTTTCCATTATCTAATAACTTATAAATGGTTGAAGCCAATTTTACATTCGATCAAAACTGAAAAATCATATGATCTATTCAATAAATAATCAAAACATCATACATGGGTATTTCCATGGGGTTTCTCCCACAAAATCACACATGTCTTCAAAATCGATTGAAATATATATTATATGGTAGGTATCAATGAGTTATGTTTATGGTAAAAATTTCAGCTTAAAATATAGTTCTTTCGTGGAGATATTGAGCACATAAGTTTAGCTGAAATTTTCAAAAATCATAAAATATCAAAAATTTGGGTGTGAGGGTGGGTGTGGGTGCAATGATTATGTCGTATTTAATAGTCTTATGCCAATTACTTGATAGTCGGTTGATTGATAATAAGTAATTGCTTGGTAAATATCTAATTAACTGTTACATAATAGTTAATAATTAGTCATTCAACGATTTACGATTAATCACTGACGAGTTGGGAAGCGGATACCTCGAACCTTCGAATTATAGATTTAAAAGTTTAAAACTCGAGTGTTCGAATTCTAAACTGAAAGATTTAAAACTCGAATCGAATTGACGATTTCTACACTACTCCTCGAAATTGAAATTTTCAGTTAAAAACACTCGATAATGCGCTTAAGAGTCGAGCGAGTTGCCTTCGATGAATGTTATTTGTTATTGATGAGCGTGTTCTAAACTCTTCGTAAAAAAAGAAATTTCTAAAAAAACCTACCATTACACAAAATAAACTTCCTTTCTCCTCTTTAGAAACTAGCGAAAGGTTTCAAGAGCCTGTAACAGTACAGAGCGCTCGACGGCCTTCTCAAATAAAACCTTTGTCGCGGAAAGCGCGTAGACTTTTTTTTCTCTCCTATGTACATCATTCACTGTGTTTCATATACGCCTTACTAATTACTTAAAACCAAGATGCACTAAAAGGTTTCACAAATACAAGTAGTCGTGATTTTTATTCTTTTTTGACATCATATATATGCTAATACCCTCATAATTATATAACTGCCATCTAAGGTAAGTAACTCTTTTCTTTACTATTCTCATTATTTACATTTGATACATCTTATATAAATAATACATTCTCCTTAAAATCCACTCATAAATATGCAGTATTTCTCATTTGTAAACTACACCGTACATCATTGGGTCGCATAGTCCAGCAGGAGTCAAGACCGTATTAAAAACTACTGGTAGATAGTAGCGTGAGTTACCGTAGGAGACCTTCGGGCAGGATTCGACATTTTCTGGAGTGGATTCGTTTCAGCGTAGGCTCCAATCAAACCAACACTGGTTCCAAGTACAACTCGATGAGCTCTTTCTTCACCCTCAAAATCTAAAAAACACCCTACAAAACCCGAAACTAGAAAAAAACCGGGGGGGGGGGGGGGGGG